AATTTTTATTTAAATATTTTAAATTTTAAAAAAAGTAAATCATAAGCAAATTTATAGCAATTTTCTAGACAAATTTGCTTACAGTTTAAGGGATAATACCAATATTGGAATTAGAAACCTATTACAAAGTAAAGATTAACACATATTGTTACCAAATACATAGACAGCAATAGACATTTACACAAAAGAAAATTATTTAGTAACAACTCCATTGCATATTGCAAAAGAAGGTATATGCATTAATAAATAATTGGACAATTAGTGTAAAGAGATAGATTATTTCTTCGATTATCCTAAATCAAAGCCACGTAAAACCTGTGATGACAAGATGAACATAATAAGAATAACAATCACAGATCAAATGACACATGACCACATGATCAGAACAAATGAAGTATGCATATTAATTATGAAGTAATCAATGGGTAGTTTAGTAATTAATTAATAAGCAAAGCATTAAATATATAGTCATTAATAGATAGTTTATTAGCAAGTAGCATTAATTATATAGTCATTGGTAAAAGCGATTAAAATAACATTAGTAACATGATTAGTGAAAGTAATAGTATAAATAGAGAAATGATAATAAATGTATTGCTTCTTCGCCTGTACATTCTTATTTGCTTACAATAAAGAATCCTAACAATAAATATCTGGGACGTCTAAACTAGTTACAAAAATAAAGTAATGACTTACCATTAATAAGGCTTGTTATACTTGGTAGCAGCAGAAGAAACTTTCCACCTAAATCACTTGCTAAATACAATGAATAACTTGTGTTAGCTCCAAGTAGATTATTAATAAAGAGAAAAGCTTAGAAGAATAATTAAACTCTTCACAAACAACACAACAGTAAAGATAGTAAAGTTGAAATTTATACTCCCCTGATAGCAATTTGATTTTAAAAAAACTGATTAAAATTTTATAATAATAAAAATCTTAAAACTATAAGTTAGCAAGCCCGGTTGGGATTTTTTAAATAAACAAAAAAAGGATATAATAAAAAAAAAAAAACCAATAAAAAAAAAATAATAAAATAAATAAAAACAAAATTAAATTATAAATTACATAAGTCAAGAGAGAAATAATAGAAAACACGTCTAAACACACATCTGGCAAAAAAGAAGAAAATTTCATGACTCTATTTCAACAATTCTTACAAAGCCAGCACTAACTAAATCAGTATTTCACAGTTACTGCTCAGCAGACTGCCACTGATCAACTTCGAACATCTACCTTTGTCAACACAAGAATTGAAAACAATACATCAAGAGGACTTACTGTTCAACTTCTGGTGTTCCACGGGAAAGATGGAGAAACGTTTTAACTTGGCTTCTACAAGTTAACCTTTTATTTAAAGCATGAAAGGTTGAGGATGGAGAAAGATTGCTATACATCATCATTAGCTTGAAAGACGCAGCCTTACAATGGTATTTGAATCAAGTACAGATGCACAGAGACAAAACTCTATTTGAAGACTGGATTTCATTTGCAGATGTAATTAAAGCTGCCTTTCAACCTCCTCACTATCAGCAGCTTTTGAGACGTCAACTATGGGATCTCAAGCAAACCTCTACTGTACAAGAATACACATCCAGGTTTAGGAATTTGTTGGGGCAAATTGAAGTAATGCATGAAGCTAATAAAGTCATGTATTTTACCAAAGATTTAAAGGGAGCCATGAAAGCTAAAGTAAATTATCGGGCCTCAGATACCTTAGATTATGCAGTTAAACTTGCTGCAAGCTTTGACACAGCGATGTATAGTCCTTCAAAATCTGATTGAAGCAAGGTCTCTCAGTTTGAAACATTTGATTAAAGAAATGAAAGCTGACAGCCCAAGCTCACCAAAAGCTTTATTGAACAAAGCCCCACACTAATGGAAATAAATAGAGCAAAAATCTCTTACAATAAAGGCCCTAAAGAAAATAAGAAAGAAAAAGGAAAAGCATTAGCACCTGAGCAAAAAGAAAATTTCAAAAGAAAAGAACTTTGTTTCAAATGCGAAAAAATAGGTCATATGGCATGTGACTGCCACAGTAAAGACTATGCAAATGAAGCAAATATTGTTAGTGCAAGTTATGAAATAAATAAAAAGAAAGTTGCTGCGAACAATAAATTAAATAGAGAAACTCTTCTTAAGGTATATGAAAGAGTTCAAGGAGAAAATGCATTGATCCTTATTGACTCGGGAGCATCAAAAGACTTCATAAGCTCTAAATTCACCGAAAGAACAAAGCTATTTAAGTATAAAGAAAATAGTCAATCAAATACAATTGAATTGGCAGATGGTACTCGTTGTGAGACACTTGGGAGTATTGGAAATGTATTGGTAGAAATACAAACTTATAAAGACACTAGAAATAATGTCAAAGTCCTACCCTAACAAAAATATAACATGATCCTAGAAAAACCGTGGCTTTTTGACCTAAATTCTAGAGTTAACTGAAGAAATAACCAGATAGTGGTTAGAAAAGGTAGACGTACTTATAAAATAAAAGTCATAGCATCAGGATACACAAAGATGGACCAACCAACACTCTTGACAAAGCAACAATTTTCGCGGGAAGCAAAATTCATAGCTAAATTGTTTGCCATAATCACTTCACAAGGCCCTAACAAAACAGATGACAATATAAAGTGACAAGTACCAAAGTTTTTGAAAAACTTAATGCAATAGTTTCAAGAATTGTTTCCCAAAAGCGTACCCAATGAACTACCTCCAGAAAGGGCGGTAGACCATAAAATTTTATTAGAAGAAGGTGCACAACTCCCTTTCAAACCTACTTATTGCTTATTAGCATCCGAAAAGAAAGAATTAAAAAGACAAATTGAGAATTATTTGAAAAAAAACATTATAAAACCTAGTGCTTTACCTTATAGCGCTCTAGTTCTTTTTGTTGCCAAAAAAAAAGAGTCTCTAAGAATGTGTGTCAACTATAGAGCCCTAAACAAAATTACAATAAAAAATCATTATTCTCTTCTGCACATTGACAAATTGTTAAATTAGTTGCATGGCGCAAAATTTTTTACGAAGATTGACCTACATTCAGGATACCACCAAATTAGAGTTAAAGAAACCAATATGCCAAAAACTGCTTTTCGAACTAGGTACAGGCATTTTGAGTTCTTAGTTATGCCCTTCGGCTAACTAATGCCCCTGCTTCATTTATGAAGTTAATGAATGACATTTTTCATAAACAACTTGATAAAAGTGTCATAGTATACTTAGATGACATATTGGTCTACAGTAAAACTCAAATTGAACATTACAAACATGTACATCAAGTATTTGAGATCCTCCGAACCTATAAGCTATATGGGAAGTTGGAGAAATGTGAATAGAAAAAGAAAGAAGTCAAATTTTTAGGCCATATAATATCTTATAAAGGCATCAAGGTTGACCTTAAAAAGATAGCTATAATAAAAGAATAGCCTGAACTTATTAGTGTACATGAGGTTAGGTCATTTATGGGCCTGGCAAGCTATTATAGAAAGTTTGTACCAAATTTTTCTGACATAGCAGTGCCCTTAACAAAGTTACTACATAAAGAGCAACAGTTTGAATGGAAAAAACAACAAAAACTTACATTTAAAACATTTAAGAAGTCATTAATGGCACCACCTGTTCTAGCAATTCCTAATCACAAACGCACATTTTTAGTCACAACAAATGCGTCAGACATCACTATTGGAGCTGTCTTATCTCAAGACCAAGGATTAGAAGAACAACCCATAGCCTTCGAATCTAGAAAATTAATGCCGGCCAAGCTAAATTATCCTGTGTATGAAAAGGAATTGTTAACAATTATTTATGTCTTAAAGGTCTAGCATGTTTACTTAGAAGAGAAATCTTTTTGTATAGTAACAGACCACACATCTTTTGAATATCTAGAAACCCAATCGAAGCTATTGCGGAGACAAGCACGGTGGCTAGAAACCCTCCAAGCTTACAATTTTATGGTTAAGTATCGACCTGGTAAAACCAACGTTGTGGCCGATGCTCTTTTCAGGAAACCAGAAACAAATTTGATTGACACTATTAGTATTAATCCAAAAACTTATATAAAACTCAAGGATAAGTACAAAAAAGACACTTATCTTAAAGATGTATTGAAAGCACTTAAAAACCCTGAAAGTAATGAGGCCAAATGATTTGAAAAACAGTTAAACTGGTATGAATTGAATAGTGGCAGATTAATTGTTTTTAAAAAGAATCCTAAAAACCCTCGATTATGCATTGCAAGAAAGTCAAAAATAAAAGTAGCATTGTTGAAAGAATAGTAGATTAGTCATGGTGAAAAAATTCTAAGATCATATGATCGATGATTCTTCCGGACGATCCTTCCGGACTATCTACGTACCTTTCGATCTCATGATATAGTACCCTAGCCATGGCGAAAAAAATTCTCAGATTACGTGCCGTAGATCAATTTTTATGGATTTCTATTAGACGCCATATCGATAATCCTAGATAGTCTAGTTCTTATAAATAAAATTTTTTAAAAATTTGAGCGAAGATATCTTCACAACCAACTGACCAAAC